CTACCGGTTCTCCACAATCCTGTCAAAACCTGCAGGATTTCACCCCTGCTACATATGTTGAAAACAACTCCAAAACTTCAAAGGAACAGGCCTAATGTATGACTGAAAAACAGCTTGAGGTAACAAAGTCTGTGTGACAAGAATCAAAGCAGAATTTGTACCCAGGAGCATGGAGAAGGAAGGAGTCTAATGAACATTGTTTCAGGCCATTTTTTCCCCAGTCTCTGAAATGTCTTCTTAAACTTCAAGTGATTAAGTCTTCCAAGGCTCAATTGATTTGTGTGTGTGTATGTGTGTTAATGCTTTCCTATGATTTTAATGCTGGGTGGAGGGTGTGTGTGGATCATTAGATCCCATAAGCTAGGCTTTACAATCTGGCATTCTTAAGCCCTTCTGATCTCTGTTCCTTGACACAGCAGGCTAACTTAAGTTCAAAGGCTGCTAAGTTGGTTGATTCCATGTCAGGGTTTAGAATTACAAGGATTATGGATGTGGCTAGGATTTGAGTCTTTCCACCCTCCATGTTAAGACAAGGACGATTAGTCAAGATTGAAGGTCTTTCTTTTTTTAAATAAAAAAATTCATTAGAGTGGTTTTTACTTTTGGTATGGCTAATGAGTTATATTAAAACAATAGCAATTTTTTTAAAAAAATAGTTAACCTTGTTATAAGAGTTGAATGATATGAATACATCAATATAAACTGTTGTTGGGTTTTTTTTTTAATGAGGAAGATAAAAAAAAAGATAAATACTTTATTGCTTCGCATGCATCCTCTTCGTTGATCTTGGCAAGTCCTTTCTGTGAATAAGTCAAGAATTATCCTCACAATAGATTTTACCATTCCTGGGTTTCAGCATAGTTATTAGTGTAAAATGTAACAACTTTCCTAATGATATCGACTGCATCGTAGTAAATTAAGCCTTGCTTATAAAATACCTTACTGTTCATGACATGCAATATTACCTTGTTAAATCTTTACTGCAAACGCAGTGGTTCTTGTTACCAAAAGATAAGCATGTATTCTGTAGAGATTCTCAGTCATAAGTCACAACCATGATTTGGATGACGGAGAGTCTCTACAGATTTTTAGCTATACAATTTGGGATGGACACCCTTTGAATGGTGTGGAAGTAGGAATGGATTTCCAGAGGCTAAATTGCAGACTACAGGAACCATTTGCGCTACTCAGGTGACCCTGAGGACACAGATAAACCTCCAAGTGCTTCAACGACCCTCTAAAAGGATGCAAAGAACCAGCTGTCTGCAAGGAGTATCAATCCTTCCATTCCCCACCATCCAGTCAGAGCTGAAGAAGCTTCTGGGATGAGAAGCGAAGCGTCGTCAAAGAAAAACCAAAAAGTCCAGTTGCCTCTTGAAAAAAAGCACCTTTGGGACAGTGGTGAAATGTAAAATTTGTTACTACCGGTTCTGTGGGCGGGGTAATGTGACTGGGTGGGCGTGGCCAACTTTTTTTTTTTTTTTACTTTTAAAAGCATTTTTTCTACCACCTTAAGAGGTTGCAGAAAAAAATGCTTTTACAAGCCTCTGACGATCAGGCAACTCAGCTGGGATCCCAAGAGATTTTTAAAGGCATTTTGTTTTCTACAACCTCTTCGGCTGAAGAGGTTGCAGAAAAAAATGCTTTTAAAAGCCTCTGACGATCCCAGCTGAGCCACGTGATCATCAGAGGCTATTTTTTTTACCTTTAAAAGCATTTTTTTCGGCCAAAGAGGTTGTAGAAAAAATGCTTTTAAAAGTTAAAAAAAAAAGTCTCTGATGATCGTGCAGCTCAGCTGGGCGGGGGGTGGGCAGGGATTTTTGCTACCAGTTCTCCGAATCACCCGCCACCATCGCTACCGGATCGGGTGATCCGGTCCGAACCGGGAGCATTTCACCCCTGTTTTGGGACAACCATGACCTGGATGACTGAGAATCTCTACAGACTTTTAGCTATACAGTTTGGGATGGACACCCTTTGAATGGTGTGGGAGTAGGAATGGATTTCCAGAGGAAAGAAAACTGCAGACTACAGGAACCAGGAGGACTAACTCAAGTGACCCTGAGGATACAGCTAAACCTCCAAGTGCTTCAATGACCCTCTAAAAGGATGCAAAGCAGCGGTGGGTTTCACATTATGTTACTACCGGTTCGCTGCGCACACTCGTTTTGTGTGTTTGTGTGTGCGCGCCTGGTTTGCACGCACTTGCCTTCCACACATGTGTCCGGCCTTCCGCACATGCGCCTGGCCTCAAAAATGTGCCTAAATAGGATGGCATAGAGCCAGGGCAGGTGGGAACACTCAATCGTGATTTCCGCAACCGGTTCGGGTGAACCGGTCTGAACTGGCTGACTACCACCTCTAATGCAAAGGACCAGCTGTCTGCAAGGAATATAAATCCTTCCATTCCCCACTATCCTGTCAGAGTTGAAGAAGCTTCTTGGATGAGAAGCAAAACGTCTTCAAAAGAAAAAGCAAGAAAGTCCAGTTGCCTCCTGAAAAAAAAAAATCACCTTTGGGATAAACATGCATTGTTCACCTCACGGTTTTATCCTATTTCCCTGATGTCGGATCCATGTATCTGCCATTCTTCATGGAAGAAGGGGGGGGGATTTGGAGTGTCATATTTATAACTGTTGCCTGGCGCCAGGAATCCCTGAAGAAATCTCACACCTCGGAAAAAGGGGGGAACGAGTGGATTGTAAAATGATCCTGAGAAACTCTTCATATCTGTTTCTCAGAGAGGCTGATGCAATTCCTATTCACACCTGTGGATTGGTTGAAATCCACATCAGAAGGTGGGCAGGGGTTCCTAATTTCCTTTATCCTGAATTGCATGCCTGCTTTGAGTTTTGACTTGCTTTCATCCCTTTCAATAAACAGTTCCTTTTGAAATATAAAGTTCTCAAGAGTTTGTACTTTCTTGGAAGGGGTGGGGAGAAGCTGGTCCTTAGACCTGATTTCAAATCACTATAATAATAGTTCAGGTCATTTAAATGTACATTAGGTCATTTGAACTTCTGGAAAAGCGTGACCCTTTGCATATAGCTTTTCCTTTTGCTACCCCAGGATAATGTTCACTATATAGATTTATGTGTATATCTTTGCACATTTAATCATCAATGGAAATGGCCACTCTTCCACCTGTTCGAAGAATCTTAAGTACTAAATGTCTGCCTGACTTTCTAAGGATTACAGCTTTTGGCTTTTCTAATACAGCCTATCTTTTGTAGATTTTGAAATCTATCTATCTATATATAAAAGAACACCCCATTTATTTCCTTTCTCAAGAGAGCCACCAAGAGAGGTTTTATTATCAGCATTTGTCCTTTGAAGGCCAAGATCATATGAGCATTTGAAGTCTCGTTTTGGCTGGTTCGGTAGCTGTTCATTTCTTTTCATTCCCTACAGTGTTCGTTTCCGCTGCTCTTCCATTCTCCTATTTCTTCTTCTTCTTTTTAAAGGCAGGATCTTTTTTTCCCCAAAAAATAAGGGCTGGGAGCTATTTATCTGACTGCATCCACCAGTGCAGTTTTTGCCTTAGTCCTCATTACGCGAACAAGGCCAAATTATGGAACGGATAAGGTCAAGGAAATGAATTTTAGATTGCTCTAAAAAGCAGGAGGAGTTAAATTCATAAAGAAAGCGTCTCTTGGCGAGTACTCATCTTGATGGCTTTGTTCTGCTTCCAGAATGGAAGATAACACATCTCAGCTACCGGTTGCTAAAAGCATCTATTTAAGAATGCTATTTTGCTCTTGTCTATGATTATGAACAACTTGAATTGGTCTGGTTGGCCCCTCTATGGAAGGCTGGCCTACTTGAATACTCAAGTATTCTGTGTCCATCCTTTTGTTACGGTTATAAGCTTTTTGTGTGAATAGGTCGAGTTACCAAAATTGGTGCTAATTCACAGCTGTACAAAAAGGCCGCTTTAAAAGATACTTACAGTAGTGTCCAAAACTGTGGAAACCTTTTGGGAAAAGTGTATTTTCTAAAATTAGGTACCCGCGTTTCCCTGAAAATAAGACCCTGTCTTATATTTTTTTTTTTGAACCCTGAAATAAGTGCTTGGCCTTATTGCCATGCGCTCAAAACCCCGATTGGGTTTCTTATTTTGGGGGAAACAGGGTAATAATACCACTTTTTTTGGGGGGGGGGAGTAGTATCATAACATTATATCTTAATGGAAAGATAATTTAATCAAGAATGCAATAACTTTTATGGAGGATTTGCTATTAGAATAGCAGTTACAGTATAAAGACGAAAAGTGAAACACGTAGAAAAACCAAGATATACACAAAAATGATCACCATAGAAAAAACGAGTTATGCAAAAATTATCACCATGTCAGTTAATACTTTGTTGGGTAACCTTTAGCATGAATGATGGCCTTACAACGTCTTCCCATGGAGTGAACCAAGTCTTTTAGTTCTTCAGGTGTTCTAATGTGAAGCCAAGATTGAATGGTGGCTTCTATTAACTGAGTTTTATTGCTGGGTCGCTTCTGACTAACAAGTTTCTTTAGTCAGCTCCATGGATGTTCAATTGGGAGGGTCCTGCCCCTCCCAGGAGTCCCCACATGGCCTGTTTTGGATGCAGGTAAGTTCAGGGCATGCACGGAGGCTTGGAAAGGGCGAAAAATGGGCTGGAAACAGGCTCCAGAGGGCCTCCGGAGCCTGGGGAGGCTGTTTTCGCCCTCCAGGAGGCTAAAAAAAAGCCTCTAGAGCCTGGGGAGGGCAACCCCACCCCCCTGCTGTGGTGCAGGAGGCTGACTAGGCCACACCCACCATGGCCATGCTCACCCAGCAACCGGGCAGAGAACCCCTTGCTAAAATGTTTGAAGCCCACCCCTGTAAGGAAGGGAGTTTAATTGTGAATTGTGAGGCTGGTCCACAAACCCTGAACATTTTATAGGGCATTTTATTTCAGTGCTTGCTCCAACGTTTTCAGCCTTCAAGTGTCTATTGAGTCAGAGAGAAAGAGAGAGAGAGAGAGAGAGAGAGAGAGAGAGAGAGAGAGAGAGAGAGAGAGAGAGAGAACAACGATTGTATCGTGCTGCTTCTATTGCATTTAATTTCTTGGGCTTACAGCTGGAGAAGAGATTTCACCGGAGCCTGCTCAACTCTTTAATTTCACAAGAATTCACAGAGAACGCTTCTAAAGCAGGTAACCAAAGTTTCCTTCAACTGTGCTTCTATAGTTGGTCTGAACCGCTTGCTGTCTTTCTCATACCTGAAAGAAAAGTCTTTGTTTTTCCTGCCAAACTTTAGAGGGAGGAAGGGAGGAATAAAAGCAGAACTCCCCAGAAAAAAATATCTTTCTTTGTTGAAAGCAAAGGATCCTAAGATGTGTAGTGCTGCGGGAAGTTGTTACTGAGAAGCACAGGGACCGGCTCTCCTTTTCTACAATTTCTGAGCACATTTTCTCGTCTGCTACCAGCTTGAGGTTCATTTCTTTTTCTTGTGTGTTTTCATCTTTCGCTGCTTCCAACGTTTGGTGGCATCTCCTTGAAGAAAGCTATTTCTTTTTTAACCCTGCTTTGTTAGCAGACGATTTATATCTCTTATTGCTATTATGATGGGACACACACACGCACGCAGAGCTGGAGCTCAAGACATTTGCCATCCATATTTCACAAGAGAGTTATGTTGCCATCAAATTATAGAAGTCTAAAGAACCATTTGAGCAAATCTTAGGAGGTTATTTTACATTAGATCTGCCCATTTCAGCCTAAAGGTACTGTAGGGCGAGTTTATTTCTCCTTCACCATTTTCATTGGACCAAGGGAAGAAAAGCCATTTTCCCTTGTCCGTTTCCAGAAAGTTCTAGAGTAACATATTTGCATCACATTCCTCCCTTCTCTCTCTCTCTCTCTCTCTCCTGCTCTCTCCCTCCCCCCCTCTCTCTCATTCTCTCCCTCTCTGTCATCTATCAACTATCTATCATCTATCTAGCTATCTACAATCTTCCTTCCTTCCTTCCTTCCTTCCTTCCTTCCTTCCTTCCTTCCTTCCTTCCTTCCTTCCTTCCTTCCTTCTATATCACTTCACAGTGCTTTTCAGCCCTCTCTAAATGATTTATAGAGTCTACCTATTACCCCCAACAATCTGGGTCCTCATTTTACCCACCTCAGAAGGATGGAAGGCTGAGTCAACCTTGAGCCGGTCAGGATCAAACTGCTGGCAATGGGAATGCAGAGTCAGCCTGCAATACTGCATTCTAACCACTGGAAGGGAGGGAGGGAGGGAGGGAGGGAAGGAAGGAAGGAAGGAAGGAAGGAAGGAAGGAAGGAAGACCAATAGCAATAGCACTTAGACTTATATACTGCTTCACAGTGCTTTACAGTCCTCTCTAAGCAGTTTACAGAGTCAGCATCTTGCCCCCAACAATCTGGGTCCTCATTTTATCCACCTCAGAAGGATGGAAGGCTGAGTCAACCTTGAGCCAGCTTGGATCAAACAGTGAATTAGCTTCAATACTTCATTCTAACCCCAACGCCATCATGGTCCTTCCTTCCTTCCTTCCTTCCTTCCTTCCTTCCTTCCTTCCTTCCTTCCTTCCTTCCTTCCTCCCTCCCTCCCTCCCTCCCTCCCTCCCTCCCTTAAAGCCTCCAATTTCACAAAAAGCTACTCTGGGTAAAATAACAATTAAAACCACATCCACATACAATATTACATTTCAATTTTGCTTACTTCTTTTCTTTATAATTTCTTCACTGGGCTAGAAAAATCACGCCAGAGAGTCCTATATAGGACAATTTCTTCAACAGTAAAGAATTCTGTTTATTAATGGCTCCTTTTAAAAAAAATCCCTCTGATTTTTTTTTTTTTTTGCCATATTATACCTAGTGTTTTATAAAAGCAGTGGGGTCCCTATTTTTTAATTTATCTGGGGAAATGAATCATTTTACAACTAATTTTGTGTGTGTGTGTGTGTGTCTCCAGGGGCAGGCGTGGATTGGATGATATCCTGCAAACTATCGCGATAGTCGCTATTTTGATTAAGCCATTAAACTTTGCACATGCTTCATGCCATATTTTCAGGAAATGTGGAAATTAAGAAACAAATTGTGTGTTTGTGTACAAATTGGATTTTAAAAACAACAACACAGGGAACCTCTGGTCTTCTAAAGGTAAAGGTTCCCCTTGCACATATGTGCTAGTCGTTCCTGACTCTAGGGGGTGGTGCTCATCTCCGTTCAAAGCCGAAGAGCCAGCGCTGTCCAAAGACGTCTCCGTGGTCATGTGGCCGGCATGACTAAATGCCAAAGGTGCACAGAATGCTGTTCCCTTCCCACCAAAGGTGGTCCCTATTTTTCTACTTGCATTTTTTTTATGTGCTTTCGAACTGCTAGGTTGGCAGAAGCTGGGACATATAACAGGAGCTCACCCCGTTATGCGGCATTAGAGATTCGAACCACTGAACTGCCAACCTTTCTGATCGACAAGCTCAATGTCTTAGCCACTGAGCCACCACATCCCTTATGGTCCTCTATAGTTTGCTAAAACATATCCACAGTAGTCACAGGAGCATAGTTAATAATATAGGAGCTGCAGGAGTAACTTTGTGGTGGGTGGGGGGGGAACCAGGTTCATCCATGCCTTTTAAAAAACTCAAATGCCATCGTTGCATATTTTATATTACCTTAGATTTATTCCCAAATACGTTTCCCCGTTGTTTTTAAAAAATTGTCTTAGGATGTACTTGCAATCTGTTTGACCCTGATCTCAGATTAGTCAATTTGAAGTCAGGTGATTTAATGATTTCCTCGTATTACCAGAGACCATGACATTAATGTTTATTCTTTATCCAGTTTTCCGTTTTATAAATAATGCAACCATGATATAAATTTTGGGCTTGCAGAGACTAGCAGCCAAATGTGTCTGTGGCCTTTTCTTTCTTTTTTTCCTTTCCTTCCTTATATTATTAAAAGAAACATGCTGAATTGGATGCCTTTGGAGTGACACGGAAGTTATTAACTTCTGTGGTGGGGGGGAATACAATCCTAATCTTTGCATATTTGAAATTTATTCTTATGGATATTGAACTTAGCTTGCAGATCTAAGAAAGCAATTGAAATGTCAATTAGGAATTCAATCACCTATGGATATTCACACTTTCCGCTCCTTCCTTCGCCCCAGACTAAGCACTTTCTTCCAATTTTATGGCTGCTGTTATGCCATAAAGAATCCTTGCCATCAGAATTCTGTAATTCAATAATGAAGGCAAGAAAGTTTTTGCACAGGTCTGCTAATTCCCTTTTATTGCAGCCCGAGCTCATCTTCATTATGGATTGATGAAACCTCATCAAATAGAATTGAGCTGCCATCTATTCTAATCTAATTATTAGTTTAATTTACAGTGGCACAAGCCATGAGTTGCTGACCTGTAAATCTGCTACATAAAACATACTCTGAGGTGTTGCAGTGTAAATAAATTAGACGGGGGTGGGGGGGAGAGAATACTAATCTAAAATCCCCTGGGCAAGGAAGGAGGGAAAGGGGGGTGGGCGTGAAATCTCAAAGGCCTTTACAAGCGTTATGTAACAAGAAAAACCAGATTCTCCCAATACAATTAGTGGCTACCACCAGTGGTGGAATTCAATTTTTTTTTACTACCGTTTCTGTCGGCGTGGCTTGGTGGGAGTGGCTTGGTGGGTGTGGCAGGGGAAGAATACTGCAAAATCTCCATTCCCATCTCACTCCAGGGAAAGGATACTACAAAATCTCCATTCCCTTCCCACTCTTGGAGGAAGGATATTGCAAAATCTCCATTCCCATCCCACTCCATGAGAAGGATACTGCAAAATCCCCGTTCCCTCCCCACTCCTGGGGGAAGGATATTGCAATATCTCCATTCCCACTCCACTCTGGGACCAGCCAGAGGTGGTATTTGCTAGTTCTCCAAACTAATCAAAATTTCCATTACCGGTTCTCCGAACTGCTCAAAATTTCCACTACCGGTTCTCTAGAACCTGTCAGAACCTGCTGAATAGCACTCCTGGCTACCACCCAGCTCCTTTCTCCATGGAACTCAAGGATTAGAGATTCTGCTTTTGATAGGCAAGAATGGAAGATGGAAGATGCTTGGAAGACATAGGAGATGAGTTAGCTGCTTGACCTTTTCTATTCAAACTCCATTTTCTTTACTACCAAGTAGGATGGAAAAAAAACCTCCCATGTTTTCCTCTACCAGGTTTCTCCTGACAGCTACCTGTCCAATCTGATCTAACAGGCTGGATATGCTGCAGCACCCATCAGCCAAAGGCTGGAGAGAGCTAGAAAATGGTCTTTTCCTGTTGTAAGCCCTGCCTTATGGAATACATTCTGTCCTCAGAACTGTGGTGGCGCAGTGGTTAGAATGCAGTACTGCAGGCTACTTCTGCTGCCTGCCGGCTGCCTGCAATTTGACAGTTCAAATCTCACCAAACTCAAGGTTGACTCAGCCTTCCATCCTTCCAAGATCGGTAAAATGAGGACTCAGATTGTTGGGGGCAACAGGCTGACTCTGTAAACCGTTTAGAGAGGGCCGTGAAAGCACTGTGAAGCGGTATATAAGTCTAAGTGCTATTGCTATTTATCAGTGTGTATGAGAGTTCATGACCAGGAAGATGTGGTAACAAGGACAGCCAATGAATAGGCATAGCAAGTAGGTCAGCCAATGAGATCTGCTCTGCTGAATTGCAACTGAAGCGGGAAAGAGCCTGGGCATGGCTCTGTATTAAGCTTTGAGCTCTGAAGCTGCAAACTTGTCTGTCTGCTGTACTCTGCTTGTGTTATGCTTATAACTGCCACATTGGAAGAATCCGCTATTGGTATTGTACATTTATCTTCATCTGTTATTATGTATATAAAGAAGTTAAATGAATCCTGCTGCATCAGTCTGCTTGTGTGTGCTGTCTGGATGTTTGATTTCTGCAACAAACTCTAACACTATTGCTATCCTCGGAGATTAGAATAGCCCCGACCCTGTTGGCTTTTTGCAAAGTTTTTAAAAACTTAGCAGTGTACCCTGCCCCAGTGTACCAGGGGCTCAAAAATGTCCTAAGGGCTCTGTTATTTGGCTTTATTATTAGCTGAAGAATCATCACAGTTTCCGTTTGTACTTATTTATTTCATAAATGTTTCTATTGTTTTAATGCTTTTAAAAAGAAATGTTTTATAAGG